TAGCAACTTCTGTTATTCGCTTTTGTTGAGTACTATACCGTTCATTCCATTGTTCTTTTAAGTATGTATTTTCATTTTCTAATTTATTTTTTTCATTTGTTAATATTTCTACATTATTTTTATATAAATTTAAACTTTCTAATCTAAGATTAAAATCGGCAATTTGTTTTTTAAGATATTCGCATTCATATTCTAATTCATAAATTTTATTATTTTTAATTTCAATAATTTGTGATTGTTTAGAATTTTCGGTTGCAAGAACATTAAGAAAATTTTTTAAAATTCTGATTTGCATTAAAAGATCACTATTCGTATTATCTACTTCTACCTGAATTCCAATATCGATAGTTGTTGAAGGTTCTATTTGTATATCATTCAAATTTAAGGTATTAAAATTGCGACTTCGCTTTCTTGGATAAGATGACGATCCATTTTTTAAATGGTTTAAATAAGTATCTTTCACAAAAATTTGATTATAGTGCTTTTCACAAATTATATATTTCTCTAACTTATTTTGAAAAGCATTTAATTCAGGAAAATATGGTTCAAATAATTTAATTCGGGCCCTAATAGTATTTGTATTTGCATTTCGAATTTTTTGACGTTCTTTAGTTTCACATTCAATTAATTGTTTAGTATCTTTATAAGTTTGAACAAGTGTAGAAAATAAACAAGTCAGAGGTAAATCCTCAGAATCTTCAACTTTTTTTTTAAAATGAAAAAAAAAAAATATAAATAATGGTTAAATTATAAAACTAACTTGCAAAATACTAACTATCCGTAGACAAAAGTAAATCCTCAGAATTTTCAACTTTTTTAAAATGAAAAAAAATATAAGTAACAGTTAAATAATAATAAACTAAATTAAAAATACTAACCATCCATAATTGTATTTTAAACGGCAACTTTTAGACTTTAACACAAATATCTACGAAGATATATAAGCGAAGTAAAACAAAGAAAAAACCAGACTTCGAGTTTATTATTTACTGGCCTTGGCCCTGACTATACCACATATAGTATGTAATTAAATTTATTTTCAAATCATATATGTTTTTAATCAAGGCTAGGTCTGGTAAATAAACTTGAAAGCCCAAGGTCCGGCTTCCTCTTGGCGTCACTCATATATACTGTTAATTTGCTAAATAACAGACATGGGAGCTATCTCAAATATTGTGACTCCTAAATTAGCATAGCGTAACTATTATTTGGAAGAGTTATAATAACAAGACCGATCTAACTCTAATAGTTACGAGGAAAATAAACGTAGAAGGAAAAAAATACGAAAATTGGTTTTTTTCGGCTTTACACCAGCTTACTTCCTTTGGTATTATGGGTAAAACGAAGAGGAAAACTCTGCCTTTATTGAAGTCAAATTCTTTCGTTTATATACATTTAAGTTAATTAGGCTACACATTATACGCGCTATCTAGCACGTTAGTCGTAATAATGCTAGATGATTTTAAGCCTCCACGTTGAACGTGCTATCCCGAACCTTCCAAGGTAAAAAAATAATTATATAAAGCTACCATATGGACGTATTAGCACGTTGAGCATGCTATCACTTTAAACGTGCTATTCCAATTAAATGAAAGGAGAAGGTCAGATGAAAATCATCGTGTAGAACAGGTTTCCCTTTCAAAATTAACATTCGATACATTATATAAAAATGGAAATGAAGTTAGAAATAACGCCCATATATAATGTAGGTTTTAAAACAGAAACCCTTTGAATTTGAAATAACAATGAAATTTGAAATAACAGACAGGTGATTGAAATAACGTAAATGAGCCGATAAATTAAACAATTTGACAGATGCGATACTTGAAAAACAGAACCCGGTTCTTTATGACATTTGCAATCATAATTTCTATAAATTTTTAATACATTTATATCACTTTACGTCACCTGAAACTCATACGAAATCTATACTAAAAAAATTTTTGTTTAATGTATTTTTTGAACTTAAATTTTTTTCGCTTTCAAAAATTATATAGCCAATCAATTTTAAGAAAGATCACTAAATTCTAGAATATCGATACGCGGTCATGCAATGTAAAT